GTAAATTTTACACTTCAATCTTAAAATTTACATTTAATTTACAATTTACACTTTAAAGTAAATTTTACACTTTAACCCGTAAATTTTACATTTTTTTTGAAATCCAAACTGTAATCGGTTATATAACGGTCGATTTGTGATGTTTACCTTACACCTAAAAAAAGTATAAAATTGAGATGTTAACAATTGTTTGCATATTTTTATTTTACATGTACATGTACTCGTAAATGTTTATTTATAGTATAAGATAAACAATGAGGGATTTTCCTCATGGAAAATGGAAAATTTTCCCCGAGATATTTATATCTCCTTTTTTTTTTTATTTGCAATTCAGATAATATTACAAGTTTATGGTTCTACGGTCATGATGAAATGATATATTAAAATTACGGTTTTTTTTTAGAGAAAATCAGAGAAATTTCTTTGAATAAAGGATATAAATTTTTCCGTTCCAAAATTAATATAGACATATTTTAGTTATCTATATATGTACATGTATATACTTTTGGTTATTTAAAAAAAATTCAATTAATTAACGTTGCTGTAAATTTTACAATTAATAATTGAATAGAATTTGCTATGATATACCAATATCACATTCATGAGAATATGTACATGTATGTTTGATATGGTCTTCTTTTCTTCTAAGAAAAAATTTGCTTGTATCGTAATCTAATTTGCTTATCATTTGCATTAATTGTAAAATAAAAAGTCAGTAATAAAATACTTTAAAATCATTACTGAGGATGTGTGAAATTGCTAAAATGATATGTGAATAAACAAATAGTGTAAAATTTACAGATTAAAGTGTAAAATTTACAATTAAAGTGCAAAATTTACAGGTATAATATCACGACTTATTTGTTGAAATAGCATTTCACACAAAGATTTTTTAAAATTTTTATTTATTAAGAATTATTGAAACTTTAAATTTCAAGATGGGTTTGATTTTTACACATTCTTGCACTTTCACACAATTTAATTTTATTCATAATATTTAGGAAAAGTGGCATTCTTGTTTGTATTAATGACAAATATTAAAACTATAATCAGAAAATTCAAATAGATATGTTCTAAAGCAAAAGATACACACAGTATATTGTCAACAACTTTAGAATTTGTTGCAAAACTGATGAGTACATCAATTAAATTTGGGGGTTTCTGAGAATAAGGGTATGGCTTAACCTCTCTATTCTAACAAATGTGAATTTTATTTTTAAAAATTTGGGTAATTTCCCCCCAAATTTCCAGGATATGGGGAGGTTAAGCCTTGATCGTGTACGTGTATTGTACTGTTAAACCTAAATGTTTAAAAGTACGCATAACTATCATCGTGTTCTGTTCATCAAACTGTACTTGTATAGGTCCGTGTAAAACATCATTCTTTAATTTTTTAATAAAATTTTTTCCATTAAATAATATCCACAGGCATTAGTGACATGAATAAAAATGTAAATCCTCGCCATTTTAGTTTTACTTTTAAGGTAATATGTTTAACGTTAATTGCTTGTGGAGTTGTTTTTCTTTTTTTCCCCCCTTTTTACTAGCACTTGAAAAGGGTAATTTCTTTTTAAAAAAAGGAAAAAAGGGTGGTGTCCTTTTTTCCACCCCGCAGTGTAACAATGTAAATGTGAGGGAATTTTTAAACCCTATCAGAGACGTTAGCTTAGTCATGGGCATCTTATCAATAAACCTGCAATACCACGACTTTTTATTCATTACTACCTTTATGTAAATCAGCATTTTCTACATCATATGGAACAAAATTTACTCTGTCCCTTTGAAACATTTAAATAGTCTTTTTGAAAAGGCCAAGGAACATCTAATTTTAGATTCCTCGTCACCTGAATTGGCTCGGATCGGTGATTATGGATACTGCATATCATAGGCTTTTTAAACCCTCGCGTTTTAGGGAAAAATTACAGCTAAAACAATCCGCCTTTTTTTACACTTCAATATGCCAATAAAGGAATTGACACGGTTAATATAATAAATTCTTAATCACAAAAGGGGAGTTTGTATTCCATGATATTGCAAGTTAAAGACTACACCTTGTATTTCCTACAAATACAATATTATTCTTCCAAACTTTCAAATTTCAAAAACACTTTACATGGTCTGGATACCACTATCTGAAAAAAAAATCCCCTTTGTTTTCATGTTTTTTTTCGCCCTATGACTACATTCCTGCAGGACACGTTATTACAGGTGACGTAAATATAGTTCGTAATGAGGACCTTATATCATTTTTTTTGAAAGGTCCTAAATATAGGAACCCGATCTTTCAACTGGCGTCGGAATTTCATAAATATTATTGAATATGTTGAAAATTACGCCAGAAGATGGGCCAGATATGAAAAAGAAGACTTGACACCTTGTCAGAATGGATTAAATGTATCAGAGCTATATTAAAGTCACGTATTAAAAGATTGAGGGGCAAAATGAAAACCATCTATCCCTCTGTGTTCAATAAACCAGAAGTGAAAAAAGAATTAGATAGATTACACGATCTGGTTCCTGCCGACAAAGCAGGTAACAACATTGTCTTTGTTTGTAAGGCTCATAATATTAATTGCATTCTACAAGAATTGGATTTAATTCTACAAGTGGTAATCATACTTAACTTATACGTCCTTTCTAAGGAAGAAATTCTTCGCCCGTCAGTTTTGAATACTTTTAATATTCCACAGAGGCAAAATGAATTTGAACTACCCTATACATATTGGATTCCGAAACTTCCTAAAAATCCTTACAAATAAGAGATACATAACAGGTTCCAGTAAATGTTCAACCAAATTCTTTCGTTACTCCTCACTAAGATATTGACAGTAGTGAAGGAAGAGACTTCAAGAGTACTGTGCAACTATATATTCAAGAAGTGGTGTGAAATCAGATGTGGATACGTAAAAATTCTGAAGAACTTTTGGACAATTTAAATAAAGACTTTACAAAAATCAACAGCTTAAAAAATTACGACTTCTCAACTTTATACAAACAATTCCCCACACAAATGAAAATCCAGGCTTTTTGATATCATTGACAGCTGCTTCTTCAATAAAAACGGAACTCGTAAATTTACTTACCTCGTCATTGGTCATTTGCAAAATTATTTTGTTAAAACAGATTCTGATTACACACAAAAGTACTCTGAAGTTGACATCAAGAAGATGCTTGATTTTCTGATTGACAATATCTATGTGGTTTTTGAAAACCAGGTATTCCAACAATCTATTGGAAATTCATGGGTACAAATTGCGCTCCGTTATTAGCAGACTTATTTTTATATTCATAGGGACAAAATTTATGAAATTTTATGGTAAAAGAAAAAACACTTGCTGTGGCCTTCAACTCACTTAAATATCGACGACGTATTGTCAATTAATAATTTCCATTCCTACGTCGAACAATATCCTGGTGAGTTTGAGAAAAAAGATACCATAGAGTCCGACACATCTGCTTCTTATTTGGGCTTTTTACTTGAAAAAGACACTAATGGTGATCTAACAACCAAGGTATATGAAACACGTGATGACTTTAACTTTTCTATCGTCAATTTCCCCTTCTTATGAGCAATATAACTTCATCACCTGTATAGGGAGTGTATTTCTAGTTGTTTCGATACGCAAGAGCATGTTCTACGTATGAACAATTTCTTAAACGAGGTAATTAATGACAAGCAAGGTGATAAAACAAGAATATCAACAGTCTCATTTAAAGCCATCATTTCGTAAGTTCTATGGTCGATACAATGACCTTGTATCAAATACAATTTATCATTAGTCAAATGCTGACTGACGTTTTTCATCCCAATTGTTAGTCCATTATTTATACACTGAATTACAACAGATTTTTTCCGTTATTTCCTGGTTATGACAAGGAGCACCGGCGGGTGTGACAGGTGGCAGGGGATGCTCACTCCTCCATGGCACCTGATCCCCCCTCTGATGTTTTGGAGGTCCGTGTTTGCTCTTCTCTGATTTTGTTTATTGTTTAATGGACTTTGAGATTGAATACTGTTCGTTATCTCCATATCCTTGTTTCAACAATGTATTGTTGTATGAAATTTTATTCCATACCTTCTTTCTAGACGTTATAATGGTTGAGCCCTCACAATTTATGTTTTCAAAGGGTTCTCTGTTGCCCCTCCCCCCTCCCCAAAGTCAAAAAGTGGGGATTTTTTCGTCCATTAAAATTTTTATGCTTGCTTCCAAAGTGATGCAAAATTAAAAACTTGTCCTGTAGAGATACTAGTGACAAAATATTAAAAGCGCTTCGCTGCAGTAGATGACAATATATATAATTATGTTTCATAGTTTATGTATCTATGACTAGAATAAGTATAAACTCCCAAATTTACAATTGATTTGTCTAAATCAAAAATAATAAATACCCCCGTACAATGTGGTAATTTAAATTTTTTGTACTTCCAATCACGAAATTTGTATACGTACACGTGTACGTACATGAATTATAAAACATTTATTGACGTTGACATCAAATATACTGTGTACGTCAAAGTTTCGCGTACACGTTGTTACGTCATTTGTAACTAAACCTATCTACAGTTTTACATTCTGTACCTGTAAAACAGCCTGTAATATTACATTCATTTGATAAAAAACGAAATAAACGAAACAAAATAGGGATAATTTTTTCTCTGTGATTGTAAATTAAAATGGCGCAAAATTTGATGTTACTTGCTTTGGAGGAGGACGATGACCTTCTTTTGTTTGCGAGTGAGGGAGATTAAAAATATTCATCAGTTTATCAAGTTAGAGATTGATGAATTAGCAATGATGTTCCGTAATTTGTTTAGATTTAAAAGAGATTATATGAATATTTGTTGAAGAGTAAGATTTAACGGCAAGGTTTTGTGCCAAAAAAGGACTGTTTTCTGGAACAGAAGGTTTGTGTTTTTGCATTGCCGATTAGCGTACCTAATTAAAAGACCTCTCGCATTTTTAGGGGGGCCCAAATGCGGAATTGTCATACATTTTACAACTTTTCTCAAGTCCATCATATAAGGCACGGGCATCGAGATTTCATTTTAACCTTGGTTGTTGAACGCAAAGCTGGTGAAATGTCCACAGCCGTAGGTAACTGCGGAGCCCCGCTGTTAAATGGCTGGGGTTTTATAGACGGAACGGTGAGGCCAATTTTCAGACCCCAATCTCATAGCAGTTAGTGTTTTAAAGGCTATAAGAGAGTCTATGTTCTCAACTTAATGTATAACGACACCTGATGGAATGATACGCATTTTTTCCAATTAAGGGCGATCCGGGTTTTTAGAAAACGACGTTGAACATCAACTGAAACAATATATGAAAAAGGCAAATAATGATGTGTACTCCCTCATGGTGAATCCCCCCATTATCATCCTACCTTATACCTCCCTTAATATTTCGAGGAAGGGTAATTCAGAAATAGATGCGCTTTAAAAAAATTGTGAGAGTGGAAAATTTTAAATCTTTTTGCTTTTCTTTATCAAAAAATCAGTTTTTTTCTTTAAAATCGACGGGGAAGTTTGGGATTTTTTCCTTTTGGTGCTCCAAGCTCATCGTCTGAAAATCAATTAAAAAAACAAATATACACCTTTATATATACAGTGGAGATAATTGTGATCAAAACATGTTATGCTTATAAATAATATTTCCGGGGGATAGGGGGGATTTAGGGGGTTAATTAACCTCCCCTTGTTTCTCATTAATTCTGTTCAAAGGGATCATTATTAAGCGGCAAAGAAGAGTTCGAAGGTACAGTTTGAGCTTTATTGTGCCCTAAAATTTTAATGTTTTTAAAGAAGGATATGAAATTGGCTTTAACAATAAAAGGGAAAAAGGGGAAAAAAGAAAGAAAAATCAGGAAAACCATAAACTGAGAATAAAGTCAAAATTTCAAATTTTAATATCTTCAGTTCCATTTGAAAATTAGCTTATAAGTTTGCAACTGTATAACATACATCAATTCAAATATTTGTTAAAAGTTTTATTTTATTATCAAATTTATTTTCAAAGTTATATCGATTTGAAATTTTGACTTAATTCTGTTCTAGGTTTATGGTTTTTCTTTTTTTTCTTTTTTTTTCTTTCCCCATTTTTTACTCAAAATATTCGTCCAGCAGAGTAGTTTTTCTGTCACTTCTTCACCAACAGTTTCCACACTGTCTTAATTTATTACCAAATTAGATTTTCATTCATGCACCCATTATTGTCCTAAAAAAAGCAATTTTAAAAATATAATAAAAATATACATTTCTGTTTTTATTCATTATTTATTATGATAACAATGTTGATGCTGTAATTTCATGCCTTAACAAAATGAACGCAACACAGACTAACTATAGGATACGCGGACCCGCAAAGGAAGTTGCAACTGCATTTAGTGTACATCAATCGGCTTCGCGGTTTAAGACACTCCAACATTGTTAAAAATAAAAATATGGCCTACGATTTATGCATATTAATGAAATACGACGAAATATCATAAGATTAATCAACACATCAAAACTTTCATACCTCATTTGAAATCACGTCATTTTAAAAATACTTCAACCATTTTAAAAAAAAAATTTCATAAATTTGGTAGTAAATATACATATTAAAAAATTAATAAATATTTTTTTTCCCCCAAACTAATTGAGAGTTTTATAAATTAACAGATAATTAACTAATTAACAACAGAATCCCAAAAAAAAGAAAACATATTTACATGTATATATGTACAATTTTCTACCATTTTAAAGGTTTCGACAGTCCATGGCAGAAAGACTAGTCTTTATAAACCGTTGAAGCAACAATTATCATTATATATTTCCATTTTGTAAAAGATATGTTTTAAAACTTGTACCTTGAACAAACCCCATTAAAGATGAAAATTGTAATTAAGGATTTTGATCCTCAAACTAAACTATTCATTTACATCAAGTGCTAAAATGTCCTCAAGCATATTTTCTCTGACGTCTAAAAGTGTAAAGCAACTTAACATCAAGTGCATATTAAATTTACTTATTACCTTATTACAAAATTCGCAATGTTTACATACAATTTTCATCGCTAAAAAAAATAAAAAATTTGATTAATAATCTTTTTGAAATTTCTCAGCTTTTTTTTGGGTTCAACAATTTATGTATTTTATAAATAAGACATATAAGGTTTAAAGACAAGTAGCACAGCATTAATTTTCCTCTGCTGCCCATATTTGTTTTGATAATCATTTTTAAAATTCCTTTTTACTGTATATAATGCTACAAATGTTTTGGCTTTTTGAACATATTCATCAATGTACCCCTTATGGTCCCAGTCCAATATTCGAGATGCTTAAATGTGAGGGAAAAAACGTTGTGAGAATTCTTGAATAATCCTGGCAAAGATTAAATTTCTTTTCTGTTGTGGAAATAACACCATATCTCGCAAGAGTGAGGGCAGACGGTAGCATTTCCTTTCCATATTTCTGCACAAAAAACGGGATGAATGTCAGAGTTATTAACACCAACAGAATATAAAGAGTGGATTTTTGATCTCGCAGTTTTACACACTACCTGTAAGTTTATCACTTTCCATATTCGCCTAAGAAAAAACCCAGCATACGCTGTACTTTAGACTGAGGTATTTCACTACCAAAAAGCACACCGCTACAAGATATGGAACACTTCTTGGTTTTCCTAAATACTTTAAAAAACACTTTTACTTGGATTATAATGGAGCCTCCAAGTAAATCATAGTTTTCTACAAGGTTGAGTAAACTTTTTTAATGAATTTGGTGAATTGCTCATAAAAGCAGTATCATGTACTAATGGAAAAAGGGGAAGTTAAATCACCCAGTTAAAGGTCATTGACAATTTTCAATATCAAATAATAAATCATTAATATACACAAGAAACATAAAAGCACTAAGTATTCTACAAATTGGAGTTTACATCACAAAATGAAACAAAACACTTCTTTTTTATACCAGTATTTTAAATTTTACCAAAATCTGGATTCTATTGCAATTAATTTGTAAAACACATTTGTATTGGGCAATGCGCTGACGTTTGAAGCAGTCAAACGAGCCTTTGAGCGTAAAAGCTTTTTTTGTACCTAAAAAGGAGCAAAAACACAATGCTCGTAACGTTTTTAAAAAAAAAACAAAAAAAAAATAAGACGTAAACAAAAAACAAAATGGAAAGAGTTTTTAGAATGGCAATAACTGATCTTCAATTTACTTTTCGGACCGTTAATCCTGTTTAACGGTCGCAAACTTTACCGGCTCCGCTTACGCGTCGCCGGTAAAACTCAGTTTGCGACTGTTAAATCAGCATTAACGGCCACAAATAACAAATTAAAAGATGTTTTTTGGAAATGATTTGCCACTTCTAATTAGATTATCTTCAACTTTTGACAAAAGTATTATTTCGAATAATTTTAATACAATGTCAATTTTAATTTCCTCTGTAATTGGTAGGAAAACATTTATCTTTGTATTTACTTTTATAGATAGATGTCATTGTTCCTACTTTAAAAATTTCAGGGATGTATTTTTTTTAATTATAGCATTAAAAATTAACCCAGTTTTTGCTAAAAATGACCACTGTATATAAGGTGTTCGTTGTAGGAAAATCTGATCCAGGAGCTTTCCTTTTGGTGGCTGATCAATTTGGTATTTGACTTCTTCAATGAATATAACACCCCTTTTCCCTGAAAAAGTTATTATGTTCTTAGATCATTATCGATGTTCTGCACAGCTTCATTTATAAATTTTGTAAAAACTTTATCAAATTCATTGGAAAGTACTCTTCATTAGCAAGGTCAGAATAATATTCTTGCCATAAAATTTCAAATGTCAGTTATGTTCTCAGCAGCTTTTCCTTTATAACTTAGTATGGATGGGAAAAGATGAACCTGATGTTTTTTTATTTTTCCATGCTGTCCTATAGAATTTTCTTTTTCAAATTTAGCGGCTTTGTCAATTTCGTCAAATATTGAATGGCGCCCGTTTTTTGTGCAAATTTTGAGTTTTCTGATTTTAAGTTTTGACTATCCATATTTTACATAATATTCCTTTTGTTTATCTCTAGTAATCCCATATATTTCCTAGTCCTTCTAGAGCATCTCATTTATAATGAGCTTGTTAACACGGAATTTTTCCATGCGGGTTGAATCTTCAATGTGGTATATGTTATAGAAGAGCTAACAATGAAGCAGTAATATGGACAGGGAAAGTATCAATATCATCTTTATTTGGGGCTTTTGTATATGCTGGGCTTAAAAGATTAGGAAACGAATTCTTGAAAGCTTCTTGTTTTGGGTGTCAGCCAATTACCATTTTGGAACGTTTCTTGAATAGTCTGGAGGTAACTGGGCAAAACACTAGCTATGTCAATTTTACAAAGCAAGGGAAAATAGTCAGAACCATTATGGGCAAAGTCTTGATATGTTTCTTTATTTTTCACTCTTCTAGAAAGACATTCTGGAACAAAAAAGTAATATAAACATGATTAATTTTTATTTTTGTTTGAAATGTATGTTCAATTCGGTTATCAGTCAAAATATACTACAAAGGTTTGTGTCTAGCATATTTTCCGTGAGTTTATTTGGACTGCCAGATTTATTCCTAATATCTGTATAAAAATCACTACATAAAATTGGGTAAATATCACTTAGTTCATCAAACATGTCAAATACATACTGCATCAAACTTTATATTCCTCATGATAGTGGTTTGTTGAAAGAAGGATGCATCCTATAATAAACAATTGGTTCATTGTAGGTAATTTGAATAACCATTATTTTTTTTTTCGTTGTCTTAAGATCTTGTGCAGAAAAGTTACTGTTATTTCGAATCAGAAATGCAGTCCTCCCCCTTTGTGATGTTGTTTTTTGTTGTTCCCGGGTTGCAAACTTGTAATATTTTCAGCATTGATCATTAAACATGATAAACGTTTTTGGTAGCCAAAGATTCGATAAAAAACATCTGCATTTTCTTTTTAAAAACAGATAGCTCTGATAGAAAGATGAAAACGCCTGAACATTCCAGCAAGACAGAATCATGCGGATAATCATGAAAAGTGTAACTGTCAATATGGGTTTGTTTCTAGGGTCAGGTTCAGTGTTTGTCTTTTTGGGGTTATCCATCCTCTTGCAGAAATAGTTTCTGGCCAGAATTTTGGGTCCTGTGTTTTTTTGTTGTCATCTTCATCAATACTTACAAGAATTACAAATGTTCGAAATCTTTCTGAATGATGTGCCAGAAAAAAATATCCCCGACACTTAAACCTATATATTTACATCCACTGAATTTTCCCTCCTTTATTTCTTAAGAAAACCCATTGCCGTAATCAGTGCATGAACTACACTAGGCACGTCACCTGTACAGATTTCTTGATTAGTGTCTGTCTCATCAATGAAATGAACAAAGACGTTTGCATCTTTGATGCAATAATTGATTTTTTTAATCCTACATTAAATGACTATCTAAATAGATATAAATCTTAAAATAAAATGTCTTTTTTTTGTTGTTAATAGGGGGATGAATGTCGCAGCATTGAAAAAAAAATTTACATTCTTGCTTACGCGGGTTATGGTTTTTTTTTAAATGGTTATTCCCGTTTTTAAAAAAAAGAAAGCTTTTATTGTTTGATTTCTTCACACCTTCACGAATATCTTACCTTTTAAAACTTGTTTTGTGCCTTAATGTAAGTGGGGGGTTTCTTTTGTGTTAAAAACTAAGTTTCTTTATATATTTATTACAACTAAGCCTCTCCCTACTAACATTTTCTATAGTAAAACTTCAACAAAAAATTGTGACTATCTTCTCCCCTTTTTAAAAAAATCGAAATGGGGGGTTGAGGTTCAAACCCCTAACCACCCTCGAATTCCGCGTCTTTCAATCATATCCTGGTTTTAACCAGTTCTATGTGAGCAATTATATCTCACACTACAAAAACAAGGAATGAATTTTCACTTTTAAAGACTTTTAAAGACACAAATTTCACAAGGGCTTGAACAATGATGTAAGCGTCAGGAATTTACGACTTTTTTTAAGGGGGAGGGGGTTTTTTACACTTATATTACCGGTAAGCAAAGAAACTATTCTTTTTTTGTTGACATTTTATAAAGTGGACGGACAAATATTTAAAGTTGATGTTAAATCTGTTGTCAATGATGACAAGTATAAAGATAAAAATTTAAAGTTTTTATAAATAGAGACTATGAATTGAATTTTGCGTGTGTATTTAAAAAAGAATTTAATGTTTGAAGATTCATGAGGTTATGCGCAGCGTTAGCACTATATGATGATTTGCCCGGGGTGAACTCAATTTTCATATACCTCATGAACCTTCAAAAATTAAAGTCATTTCTTATATTTACATTATATATTTACGCTCACGGAAAAATAAACTGCATCTCATTTTTTAAAATTTATTTGAAATGTAAATATTAAGTATTTAAGATTCAATTATCTCGTATGTTCATTGTGAAAAATAATTAGGTAATTAAACTATAACCTTATAAAGGTAAAGTTTATTTCTATTAATGCAGTTACATGTAATGTAGGACCTGTGGGCTATTTTTGATCCTCCACCATCCTTTTGGGGAAGTTTTGTAATTTTTTTTAAAACAAGCAAAGTACACAAAACTACGTACAGGTGCTCTTTTATTTAACTTCCCAATTTTTTGATTCAAAGTCATGATTTGGCCCTGCCAGTCCTTTACGTTATCTCTACGAGCTTTATATATACTCTATATAAATAATCAAAAATCAAACCTCGCCTTAACCAAGGTAAGTTTCCTAATTATTTGAATCGAGACAGAGAAAAACCATCTTTGACTCCACCTCTATTGTTTCGTATTACCTTGTTTTGTTATTTTTGATTTAAATTTTATGAAATGGAATACAGTTCTATATCTTCACCTTTTTATTGATTAAACTTCAGCAGACAACTTATTGCGAAGTACGTTATCTTCAAACACTATAAAATTAGACAATTTGATTTATAAATGATATGTACTTATTCTACTTCTGAATAAAATCGATAAACAAATTTACCAAGAGGACAGTCCGATCTTATTTTCTCCATACTAACAAACAGGTAAAAGGGATACATTTCTATCAACAAACATAAAAATGAGACGTTTTAATTTAAAACTTGCTAAAATCCGTTATATTTTAAATACTTGGTTTATTTCAAACCAAAGCAAAAATTCTTTCATCCGAATAAGACGGGAATTTTGTCAAGTCGCAAAGTTATTGGACATTTCATTTTTGGTATCAATACGATTAAATCGGTCATTATATGGTACAAAATTGTGTCAAAGTAAAGAGACAAGAACAATAAATGCTTTCGTTTTATCGTAGAAATATAGAAATACGATCTCAGAGCCAGTATCAATGATAATAACTACAGACAAAATTTAAAAACAACAGGATTTTATATTTTTCCTACAAAAAGGAAATCACTTTTCGAACCGTCCCGGTGATGATACTGGTACTATAATTTGATAATATAAAAGCTGAAGTCATCACGTTTATCATAAAATTCTGTTGTTTGGTTACAAGTTAATTCTTTTCAGGCACAAAACCAAAATATGAAACATACGTGTAAGATTCTGTGGTATTTTAAATTATTATTGATTTTATCATTATTTAGAAAGAAATTCTTATTTTCCCGAACAAATGTTTAAATGTGAGAGAAGATGACTTATTCTTATAAACAAATATTGTTTTCTTTGCCCCCTCACCCCGCAAGATAATTTTGTTAACCAAAGTGAAATAAATCTCTCTGATTAATAGTTTCAGAATTAAGAAATTATATATATGAAGATTTTTTGGCCCCATTTTGACAGAATACATAATGAATATTGTGCTTTATTATCTGTTCTCTTTCATACATCATTGTTCATTATACACATAGGTTTTTTAAAATAAATTTTTAGGTTTTCTTAAATGTTTTCCTATTGCTTAACAGTAACACACATTGGTAAAAAAAAAGAATGAAATGATCTGTACGTAAGCCCTTAAAATACCTGTTGCAGAAAAATTTTCATAAAATTAACATCAGCATTTTGTTTATTTTCAATCATGTATGTTCTAATCTAAAAACTATGATAAGAAGAACTTTAACCTTAAACATTTTATTGTTGTTTTAATTTATTTCAACTCATTGTGATTTTTTTCAGCATATGAGGTCCACTTCATGGAACTATTAGCATTTATCCCTCAGTGTAAAGTACATCAATCCTCTCAGTGTCAGGAGGACACAGAATACTACTGTAATACGTGTAAAAGTGATCTGTGTCTTCTGTGTAAAGAGAGACATGTTGTTGATCTAGATACCATATACCACGATGTTGTGATTTACCGTGAGAGGAATGGCTATATTACAAAAGAAGAGATATGTCAAAGACATCCACACAGATTCTATGAAATGTTCTGTCAATCATGTAAACTTTCTATCTGTTTCGAATGTACAAGCATAAAAAACACAGATACAGGACCTTAGAGCAGCTATAGATAAACAGACAACAACAAAGAGAAATCATTCAGGACATCAGAAGTGAAATTCTATTTAACAATGCTTTCTTCTCGCAGAAATCAAAGCTGATATAAAAACATTTCGCCAAAAAATATGCATTTTTCAATTAAAGATGTCAGCAAAAGCCAAAAAACTAGAATACCTTATAAATCATTATATGGTCGGATGTATAAGGTACATGAGACAAAGAAATCATCAAATTAGAAAAATACACAGAAAAGTTGCCGATTTAGAATCATATAAAAACATATATAAACAATCATTAAACAGACCGGCAAGCTTCCTTTTATTCGTACAAAAATGCCATGTTCCTACGACAAACGACACTCTAACAAAACTTCCTCTTTTCAGACTTGAGGAATACTACATGGATATAGAGGATGTGATGTCTATAATGAGTGAAATGAAAATCATTAAAAAGGGGAAAAGACAAATAGAAAATAAAAATCTTTTAGAAAGAATGTCTCCCGTTTTGCAAGATTTTTCGAAGTGTCAGGAGTTGATTCTGTAAGGCATATTTCCTATGCGACATCAAACCGGTTCTGGATCAGTGATTGGTATAACAATATAACTTTGACAGACATACAAGGTGATTTATTATATCAACTAACAGAAATAAAACAATTTAGATATAAAGGCACACACACCGTAAATCGTACAGGAGATCTAATTTATATCGACAGGGATCATAACATTAACATGTTGTCTATAGATAACAGAACAGAGTTTACAATGATAACAAAAACAAGACCATGGGAACCATGGTGCGTTTTTTTCCCATTCCAGTGGGAATCTTTTAGTGGTGAGTATAAAAAACTGCAACAAGGATGGGCAAGGTAACACAGTATAACGTTACACGACAACAGATACAAACGATACAAAGCAACAACAAAGGTCAGGGACTGACAAGACGCCTATGTACATAACGGAGAATCGCAATGGAGATGTTATTGTGTCTGACTTTTGGCGCTATGCTGTTGTGGTGACAGATTGTGAAGGGCGATACCGCTTCTCCTACAGAGGAGATACATCAGAATCACGACTAAATCCACGTGGAATCTGTACTGACGCGCTGTCACACATCCTGGTGTGTGATGAAGACACACACTCGGTACATATGATTGACAAAGATGGATATTTCCTTTTAAGGATACTTACTCAAAAACAAGGGATATACAAACCAGCAGGCCTGTGTTATGATGAAAAAGCCCACCTTCTCTTGGTAGGATCACATGGAAAAACTGCGTATATGTATACAGATACATAAAAAGGAAGAACAAACTCAAATATTTATATCCCCCGCTTGAAATGCGGGAGGATATATTGTAATTGGTATATCATTCCGTCTTTCCGTCTGTCTGTCCGTCCATCCATCTGTTACACTTTGGGTTACCCATTCTCTTATCCTCATCTCCTCTCATACTACAGAATGAAATTTAATGAGACTTTCACAGAATATTTATTATATAGTTTTGCACCTCTTATTTACTTTTTGATCAGACAGATGTTTTGGGTTTTCCAGAACAAAACATTGACACTGTACTTTAATACTGAAGGGCACCCATCTTTTATCTGCAGCTCCTTTCCCATACCACTAAATAAAATTTAATATTTTTTTTTCACAGGTTATTTATTATCCCGCTTCAGACAAATTTGTCGATTACTGATTGGATCAAAGCTAATCACATGACGCCCTGAAATTTTCCTATTACGTCTCCGTCAAGGCGTAATATGAAAATCGGGCACGCGATTCCGTTGAAACGTTGTTATTGTAAATAAAAATGGCGGCTAAGAAACGGTTTACGTAGGTAGTTTACATGCATGTAGTTAAATTTCTTGTTACCGTAACGATATTTTATGTTGATTGTTATTGGATTAAAACATACTATTTTCATAATATGCACAAATACTTTTTTTATATCGAAAAAGGTCTTCAGCGGGATAAATTCGTAACACAGTCAGTTAGTGACCTATTACGGATTCATACGGGGTGTGAAATGGAAATCCGTATTGGGACTCGACTTCGCCTCGCCCAATACGGATTTCCATTTCACACCCTGTATGAATCCGTATTAGGTCACCAACTGACTGTGTAACTAATAATTACATAATGCCACTTGTATCTTTTATTTTACTTTTTGATCTGACGCATATCTCAGATCTCCAAGAGCAAAACAGGGACTTAGTCATGAGAAATCATATTGGAGGCAGGGGTATCATTTAGTGAGCTTATTGCTCAAAGTGCCTCTTGTTAAACAATGGTATTGTGGACAAATAAACAAAAATGAAAAACGAAAATAAACACTTACTTATACACAGACCCAAGACCTACATAAATTGTCCACCTATCAGAGTCTTGAAACGTACAAATATAAGCATATATATTATCGTAGTGTCTGTTTTCTCCCACTACGTGCCTGTACTCATTAGTACTAAAATATCATGATAGCTGGTTCATAGAAGGACTTTGAACTCACCCTTCCTCTGTGATATCTAATCCTTTCTTACATTCTCACAGGTTACATTCTCACAGGGCAAACTACCACATATATACACATGTATAATGCGCTCTTACTCATATCTTTGAAATGTTATACAACAGGAATAAATTTTTATAATTTTATGAAATTATCTGAAACATTTACACAAATTTTACAAAGAACGATAACTCTTCACAGTAAGATGTTTTACATTTAGACAAAGCTAAATTTCTGTCAAATTAGCAACTTAAAGCTTTTTCACAGTAATAAAACATTATTAACTTAAAATAAATATAAAGCATCCCTTTTTCATCAAGGTTTTGCATAATCACTTCTTCTCAGAAGGTTTCAATACTTTAAACGTAACTCACAATTGCACCAAAAAAGTTCTGGTATTTTCGAAAATTTGAAGACGACGTGGTTGGATCCAGGCCCCTAGGAACATGAAACATCTTAATCTTAAGTCAAACTCTTTCAGTTGTTCTAACATCTAGAAATCAAATATAACAATGTATTATTGTAATTAACACAATACGTGTATCAATCAAAAGAAGGATATGGAGATAACGAACAGTATTCAATATCAAAGTCCATAAAACAATAATTATTAAAAAAATAGGAGCAGACAACAGGGACCTCCGAAACAACACAGGTGGGATCAGGTGCCATGGAGGAGTGAGCATCCCCTGCCGACCGGTCACACCCGTCATGTGCTCCTTGTCATGATTATGAAATAACGGAAAAGTCCCTTGTCAATTTAGTGTATGAATAGTGGTCTAACAATTAGTATGAAAACGTCAGTCAGGATTTGATTCAATGATAAATTGTATTTGCTGACAAGGTCATTGTATCGACCATGGAACTTACGAAATGATGACTTTAAACGAGACAGCTGATATTCTTGTTTCATCATCTTGCTTGTCAATAATTTACCTCGTTTAAGACATTGTTCACATGTAAAGCATGTTCTTGCGTATTGAATCAACTGAGATATATACACTCCGTAAGCAACTGAGGAAGGTACAGTATATTGCTGCATAAGTAAGGGAAGTATTTATCAAGTGTTTTGGTATCTTAAGAATTCGATCTGTATGGTTAAAGCATTCATACCTGTTTTACAGGTACTGTTGAACATTATATATTCTGCGACATTTTATTTTGGCGACTTAGCTTTTTTGTTTTTATTAACGAGACAAAAGTTTCGCGAGCTGTGGTTTCAGTAATATAATAATTTAATATTTCAAATATACACGAGAACAGAATTTTCGTGAGAAGACAGACAGCATAATTACGCGAAAATACAGTTTTTGAATGAAAAGTGATTTACAGTATTCTGTTAAAGTACGCACCCTTCACAGCATGTAATGCTATTAAGGCTCTTTCTCAGTGCAGTCAGCTACTCGAGATGTAACATAGATCCACAAGTTTTCGGGATTATCTAACCCTGTCAAACTTGTTTAAGAAGGTTTTATGATGAGTTTTATTAGAGAGCACTGTTTTCCCATAAAAATAAAGAACCTTTATAAAATTTTATCAGCTCAAATTGTAAATGTTTGGACAAAATGATGAATGATTATATGTAATGAATTGCGTACGTGTTCCTTGTATTTTCTATTAGGATATATAGCATTTTTACGTTTTTCTAAGATTTTAAATACTTATTTTCTTAAATTGTTTATATTAGAAGGTCACATATTTCTTTTTATTCATTACAAATGGGTAAACTGGAGTATGCTTAAGCACTTTTTTTTGAAATGATCACGTACAAACTCTGATGCCTGTCCTTGTAATATAATTTCAATACTTAAAACATAATGAATGTACGCTGCTTTGGAATCTCTTTTTATTATTTAAATCAGATCCTTCAGGAATGAATTTATTTTTAGTTTTAAATCAAATGAAGAGTTTTATTCAAGAAATAAAGAAAACTTTACAAGCGATTTAAAATTTGACTTAAGTCTAAGTCTATTTTATAATCCTGGGGACAGATAAGTCAAATTGATTAGCAAATGCCACATACAGCTGTATGTAACTTTTAATTGATTTGGGGTAATGTGGCTTAATCAAATCTACTGATTTCATAGCAATGTTTTTCTTCGCTTGAGAAAATCAGCAGTGTCTTTATGTAAGCCATGAATTCCTCTAATCTTATTCACAACGCCACGGATTGCCGATTATTTAGTGAACATGGCAAAATTTCAAAGTGCGTTAAATAGGACCAAAAAAAAAATTCTTTTCAAAGTGCATTAATATCGACAATATTGATGCACTTTGAAAAAAACAATGTGTATGGTCGATATACTTGCAAATCTTAGGTACATGTAAGATAAGTAATTGAACCTGTTGGATAACCTTTCGATGACAAGGTCACTTCTGAATGTGAAAGTGAGCGGTTTTGATTGTTCTAGATTTTGAAAATTCTTTCTCTCTTAAATGTTTTACGGTTCTTAATTTTCCCCAATTTGCATGCATTATATACGTGTAATATAAAATTTATTGAAAGTTTTCAATGTCATACCCGTTGTGCAAATACAAATATTTGGTTGGGTGTAGCATTGGCATCGGTACCGGGGGGGGGGGGGTTAGCCACGTAACAGTTTTGCAAAGATTTACATAATAAAGGCATTGAAAATTTGGGGCTTACCTTCGGAGGGGGAGGGTCCATGTTCAATTTGCTACCGACGGCAATATATAAGAAAAAAAGATGACTGTGAAATATATTACTCGTCTTCTTCTTGTTCTCAATGAAGTTAAATCAATGCATGTAAATAAAAAAGTTCTTCGAAGATATAATGTTTACAAGTTAGTTTATAGATTTTTGTTTTACAGCTATATTTTTCAAAGTGCGTTTAATTTCTCCAAAATAAAAACTATTGATGTACACTCTTACCGCACTTTGAAAAAAAATTTCAAAGTGTGTAATTTTTTTCAAAGTGCGTTGCCACAGAGCACACAGCTTGTGTGACCGGTCAGCAGGGGGAGCTCACTCCTCCATGGCCCTATACCCGGCAACATTACACTTTAAACAATGCAAAATAGGAACAGAGCAAACATTGACCTCCACAACATCAGAGTTCGAATCAAGTGCCATGTAAGAGTAAGCATCCCCTGCCGATCGGTCATATCCGCCGTGTGCTCCTTGTTATGTACAACATTAAATATTATTTTCATATATACCTCATACTTGTAATTTTATTGTGAGATAAAAAATATTTGATATTTATATTTTCCATAACACATTTTCTTCATATCATGAAAAGAAGTAATATTCATTGGAAAAAGTAACGCTCCATACTTCAAACTATATCTATTTGAATCTAATGTTATTGTTGTTGTTGAAAATCAATTTTTTGAATAAAAAAAAACGGTGAAATTTGGAGCAGATGGATATTTCACCTATTAGAATTGATTTTTAAAAGCTATCTATATGATCAATTGAGTGCATGCATTAGATCGATTTATTTAGACCCTTACATTACACTCCGACGTACTTTCGTACAATTTTACGGCAGTTTCAATTAAGGAGGATCTCTACACTTGTAAAGTATAACTGATTTTTGTTGCATGCATTTGTTTCTAATAATAGGCCCCATATCCGATAAAATAAAGTTCCAAAGTACTTCAATTTATTTTTTAGAAATATTTGAAATATTTTATTTATTTTGTTAAAATCCCTCCTATCTATATATAATTAAAAGCCCAGTGCTTTAAATTTCTCTTCAAAGTTTAGTGTTATAAAATATTGAAATAATAACCAACAAAGATAAAAATAAAATCAACATAATTT